TCAGGCAATCCACTCACCTCAGCCTCCCAAAGCGTGGGATTACAGGCTGAGCCACCGAGCCCGGCTCTCTGCCATTTTCTTGTTCCTTTCTTTGGTTATGCTCTTGCTGTTTACTTCCTTTCCATCAGCTCAGGAGAGCCAGGGCCATGATGTTTGTGTTGGGATCTTTCCCCATGGGTTTCTCATGCTTGTTCCCATCTTCAGAGTGAAAGCACCAACAGATTTTGTCCCAATCTTTCAAAGGACATTTGTAGGGCAAACAGCCTGGGAGGTTAGGAAGGGTGTCCCCTTCCAAGGCAGAGGGCAGATTTATTTATGTTAATATCTCCTTCCAGGGCAAAAGTTGGGCAGGTTTGCCAACAGCTCCCTTAAAAGATTGGGGCTTCCTAGCCAGGCGTGGCACATCTGTAATCTCAACATTTTGGGGGGCCATGCTGGAGGATCACTTGAGTCCAGGGGTTGGAGACCAGCCTGTGCAAATATAGTGAGACCCCATCTCTACAAAAAAGTGAAAAAATTAGTCTGGGTTCAGTGGCTCAGCCTGTAGTTCCAGCACTTTAGGAGGCTGAGGCGAGTGGATTGCCTGAGCTTGTGGGTTCGAGACCAGCCCTGGCACCTTGGCAAAATTTTGTCTCTACAATAAATCAGAAAATTAGCCAGGCATGGTAGTGCACACCTGTAGTTTTGGCAACTTGGAAGTCTGAGGCAGAAGGATCGCCAGAGCCCAGCAGGTTGACGCTGGGGTGGCTGTGAGTGTGCCACTGCACTCCAGTCTGAGGGATGGAATGAGACTCCGACACACACACACACACACACACACACACACACACACACACACACACACACAAATACAAATTAAATTAACCAGGCATGAAGGCACGTGCCAGTCAGGGTTGTTTAGCTGAGATACAGAGATACAGATTTGCTGTGTGCAGAACACCCATCTGGGCACCCACGTGGGCTGTTCTGCATCATTCCAGGGGATTTGCTGTGAGTAATAACATCCTTTGTCTCTGGCCCCGAGTCTCCTGTCTCTGACAGCATTGTTAAGCAGTAGCCAGTGGCCAGCTAACTTCTTAGCCTGCAAGTAGGGTGAAATCGCAGACCCTTTTGCAGTTCCTGGCTATCTTGTTCATTACTCCATTTCCAGCCCCCAGGGCTGCCACACCTGACATGTAGTGGGTGCTCAGTAAATACTTGCAGAATGAATAAAAATACAAAACGGAGCCTAAAAGTAAATCAGTGCAGCCTGATTTAAAGGAACATTTAATGGTATTTACCTTTCACTTTTTCCTTCAGTATCTTAGATCAGTGGTCCCCAAACTTTTTGGAATCAGGGACCAGTTTCATGGAAGACAATTTTTCCACAGATGGGCAGGGCTGGGGGCAGGTGGGGAGGATGGTTTGGGGATGACTCAAACACCTTACATTTATCATGCACTTTATTTCTATTATTATTACATTGTAATATATAATGAAATATATAGCATCACTGCCTCAGCTCCAGCTCAGATCATCAGGATTTCCATTCTCATAAGGACTCATATGTGCAGTTCACAATAGGGTTCACGCTCCTATGAGAATCTAATGCTCCCCAGATCTGACAGGAGGTGGAGCTCAGGCAATAATGCCAGCGATGGGGTGCAGCCAAATGCTCACTCACCCACCACTCACCCTGCTGTGCAGCCCGGTTTCTAACAGGCCACGGATCAATACTGTGTATTGGTCACTTAGGACCTAAATGATACTTGGAAAAACGTAAATTTTTCAAGTTTTACCTGTCTGGGTTGGGTAACATTTCTCTGCTCTAATCTTGCCTTGGGCAGTCACTCGCCTGCCTGAACGCACTGTGGAAAGTGATTTGAAGGTGTTGAACCCTGTGAATCAGCTCTTAATGCCATGCGGCACCAGCCATAGTGAAGGGCACAAGAACTTCAACCAACTACCGCTCCCCCTCCGTCCCCTGGGGGGTCGGAACTGAGTTGAAGCAACATCTCTCTGAGGTCTTAAGTGGTCAAGGTTGTGCTTGGGAAGAGAGAGGGCAGGTAAGGGGATCTCTGACCGCTGGGCGGGTGCCTTCCGTAAATCCGGGGCTGCAGTGGCGCAGCCCCCAATCCCAGCCGTACCCCGCAGGACATCCAGGGGTGGCGCTGCTGGTGCCAAGGAGGGCCTAAGGCCCTCGCGCGGGCCACCTCCGGGGAAGGGGCGGGGGCTGCACTTGGGGAGGAAGTACTAGTGGGGCAGCTCCGCGGGCTACGGAGGGGACGGAGCCTAGGTCCGAGAGGACGGGACTCGGAGCCACCCCCTCCGGCCCCAGCCTTGCCGTCTGGGGCCCGCCCCTTCGGGTCCCGGCCGCCGCTTCCCGCGCCGCTCTCACCTGGCGGGAGGAGGAAGCCCACGCTCCGACCTCCGCCGAGAGCCCCGCGG